CAAATTTCGACGGCTCAGAATCATTCATTGGAGCAGAACTGTTTGACCATGGACTTCGGGTTCAGTGTCGATGATCAACTGTACGTGTGCAGCTCATCCTGCATTTCCAGCAGTGCTTCAATCATGTACTCACGATCCCGGAATGGAGCATAGTAGGCTCGGTGGTTGATCCACCTGACAATGGCTTGTTCCATGGTCATCGAGGCAAAGGCCATGACTAGGACACAATAAGCAGCACAGGTCCTGTTAATGCCACCGTAGCAATGGACAAGCACACGAATTGGCCTCTTCTTGCCTCCACGCTTCCGACCACCTCCCTGAAGCTTCATCGCCTCCAACAAAGCAAGAGCATTACCGAGCTCACCAGGGAATGTCTCATCGGCCACCTTCAAGGCACTCTGCCTTCCATCGGCACTCTGCCTTCCTTCAGCGGCTCTTCCGAACAGGCTGCCCATGTCACTTCCCTTGCTGAAGCCCTTGTCATAGGAGCAGCCATAGCCAAATGAGCCCTTCGTCGATGCCTTCTGGCTTTGCATGTGATTGGAAACCTGACAGGGGCCGCTGTAGCCCTTGCTGATTGTCTTGCCCTTGCCCCTGCCGCCATTGGCCTTGCCCATCATTTTGCCCTTGATGGCACTCTGCCTTTGACTCTGGCTGAACTCCTCTGCTGAGCGCTGCCAGCACATCATAATCTTTCTGAAATCTGAAATGAGGCGGCGCCAAATGGTCTTGAACTCATGACTTCTTTGTTCAGCATCAAAGTCATTGGCATGTGTTTGATCCCAGCCACCATACCGAAGATGTGCAGTGCCAAACGGTCCACAATTCGCCAAATACTGATACCAGTCCCATGGCTCAAAATTCCGAGGTCTGTCATCTGCATTCATAGAGATGACAATGTCAGGCTTGACCCGGAGCTGGTCATATCGGATCGGGCAACCAATACTGCCAACAAACAGTTGCCACTGGGGATGGTCGTAAATCAAAACATCATCCATGGGCCACGTCTCGACATCATGCTGGCATGGCCGAGGTGGCGGGATCGACCCAGGCAGCACATCTGTCTGGCCGGTCCATGCTTTGTACAACTTCATATCCATATCTCCGAAATCTGAGATGGCCTCAACTGCCAATTTGATTCGTTGATCCAATTGTGCAGCCCTTTGGATCTTTCGGAGCCCGGTGGTATAGTCGGCAGCTGATCTGCCACAGTGTAAACAATTCCACCGAAGTTGTTGCACGGCTTCGTTCCAGTAATCACTGCCAAGGTCAATGTGATTGGCCTGATTCTGATGGTCAGCAGCAGAAGTCTGGCACTCTGCCTCGGAACTCCCTGAGCACCTTGAAACGGTCGTCGGCATCACTGCTTTCATCGAGCACCCAATTGTCCAACGATTAAAACATTAACAGTGACTAATGCATCACTATACAGTACATTAACCAATGATATGTAACATTGTGTTACTACTGTTACATCAGTATGAATGAATCACTTGATTATCTGGCCGGCAGATGTCGATCATGTATGGTGCAAGGCAACTCACTGACAGACTATGCAGGCAGGCAGGCAGGCAGCCAGCCTCGGAGACAGCAGGGTCCTGAGGACGTCACTGCCACCCGGCACTGTGTAGTCAGCATGTCATGCTGGGTAACCTTTTGGAATCCAAGTTGCGCACACTACCGCTGAGGTCTCCAATCGGACAGTCTAGCTCTGCTGGCTAGATCGTCGAATTCAAAATCCTCTAAGCACACGCAAACCCGGCACTCTGCCTTCCCCAACATCCGTAATGCGGTCTCGGAGGCTGTACAAACACGATGAATCACTGATTCATCATTGACGACAGAGCTTCGTCTCGCACGTCATTGTAATATAAAATTCCTGGCACTCTGCCTTCACTGTAATCCTGCATAAATCTCGGAAAGAGTACGTGCAGGATCATATCATTGATATGCCAGTCTACTTGCAAGACATGCCCACGCTCTTCAGAATTCAGAAAGAACCACAATGTCGAAAAGGACTCCTCTAGCAGCGCGTCGAAATAAATCACATAATCATCGTAGTCACTGTCCATGATCGAGGCCACAGTGCTTGCACGCTCATCGGCAACCAGAATCCAGTCCGAGTCCAGAGACTCACTGTCACTGCACGACATCGACGACATCTGCCGGCTTGCAGGGGGGCCTACTACGACTTAGACTAGAGACAGAGCAGGTCGTCGGCATCACTGCTTTCATCGAGCACACAATTGTCCAACGATTAAAACATTAACAGTGACTAATGCATCACTATATAGTACATTAATCAATGATATGTAACATTTTGTTACTACTGTTACATCAGTATGCATGAATCGCTTGATTCTCTGGCCGGCAGATGTCGATCATGTATGGTGCAAGTCAACTCACTGACAGACTATGCAGGCAGGCAGCCAGCCTCGGAGACAGCAGGGTCCTGAGGACATCACTGCCACCCGGCACTGTGTAGTCAGCATGTCATGCTGGGTAACCGTTTTGAATCCAAGTTGCGCACACTACCGCTGAGGTCTCAAATCGGACAGTCTAGCTCTGCTGGCTAGATCGTCGAATTCAAAATCCCCTAAACACACGCAAACCCGGCACTCTGCCTTCCCCAAGATCCGTGATACTGTCGCGGAGGCTGTACAAACACGACAAATCATTGATTCAGTGACGACAGCCATTCGTCTGTCACATTGAAATATAAAATTCCTGGCACTCTGCCTTGCCTAAAATCCCGCAAAAGTCTCGGAAACAGTACGAACATGATCTGTTCATTGATATGGAAGGCTGCTCGAAAGACTTGCCCACGCTCTTTAGAATCCAGAAACATCCACAATGTCGAAAAGGACTCCTCTAGCATCTCGTCGAACGGAATCACATAATCATCGTCGTCAGCACTGTCCGCGACCGAGCCCGCAGTACTTGCACCCTCATCGTCAACCAGAACCCAGTCCGAGCCCACAGACTCACTGTCACTCCACGACATCGACGACATCTGCCGGCTTGCAGGGGGGCCTACTACGACTTAGACTAGAGACAGAGCAGCTGTAACACGACTATAGTAGATTACGCAGGGCAACAGCGAGCACAACTGCTGCAGCGGCAAGTTGCGATACATGACACGCTCACTGACTATGCAAGGCAGCTTGTCCTCTGCGATGGCAGCATGTCCTCAGGATCCTCGTCATGAGCCTCGGTGCCAGGACTGTACCATAATAATGGAAGTAGCTGAAGCAAGCTGATGCTGAGATCCCAGCAGTTGGCATCCACTTCTCGATGGGCTGGAAGCCGATGAAGACCGATGGGAGAGAAGGAAATGGAAGAGAAGGCGTTCACTAGGCTTGGATTCAAACCGAACACTTAGACCTGGCCAACGGTGTGGGGAGCAACCCCGATGGGGCAGGGACTTAAGTAAGGCAACCTCGAGAGGCTCGACTGGCACTCTGCCTCTGTCGATCCAAGTCGCAAGGCTCCCTAACTAACGTGACAAGCATGGATGGCCTCCCCTCCTGGTTGGGAGAAAAATAAAAAAGCCACAACCACTGGACCACCCCACCCGGCACTTTAGCCCATGTGCCCGGGTGTCATATGCCACTGCCCTGGCACGTTGGCCCCAAGGCGGTCCAGGTACCATCGACAACACCTGACACCCGGCCAACGGTGTCCACGAACCGAGATGGGCAGTCGATCCGTGTGGGTAAGGTGGCACTCTGCCTCTGTCGATCCAAGTCGCAAGGCTCCCTAACTAACGTGACAAGCATGGATGGCCTCCCCTCCTGGTTGGGAGAACAAATCAAGCCGCAACCACTGGACCACCCCACCCGGCACTTTAGCCCATGTGCCCGGGTGTCATATGCCACTGCCCTGGCACGTTGGCCCCAAGGCGGTCCAGGTACCATCGACTCAGCACCTGACACCCGGCCAACGGTGTCCACGAACCGAGATGGGCAGTCGATCCGTGTGGGTAAGGGCAAGGTCTCAAGGCAAGTCAACATGTCACTACGGCCTCCCTTCTTTGTTCAATCACAACCCAAAACTATTTAAAAAGATTAAATTTAAAAATTATTAACTTCAACAACAAATAAACAACAATTTTGTAGACATACAGCAGCAGGAAACCAGGTAGAACAACAGGAAGCCAATTGACTCACTCAGAAACAAAATTCACAAACATGTATTTTTTACACCAAAAATAAAATAAAAGAATTTTAACAACTGTAAAACACAAAAAAACCTATTTAAAAAACTTTTAAATACAAAACAATACTTTTAAATACAAAAAAACACTTTTAAACACAAATAAAGCCAACCACATACAAAAATGAGATTTTGGGTTCCTTTCATATAAGCCTTGTTGATCTAAACCCTGTGGTTCTGGTTCGGCGCAAAGGGTTAAGGAATTAGGTTGTATGGATTTGGGCTTTAGACCTAAGACACTTTTGAGGGCTTTTGGCCGGGCCAGCCTCTAGATTTTACGATTGTCGTTCTGGTGAGAGCCTCATTTTCTCAACTGCTTCCTTCTCATGCCCAAAGGAGTTTTGGGGCTTGAGGCTTGGAGGATTTTGGAGCTTTTGGACGCTCCTAGGTGCAATTCTTCGGGATGGGGTGCTTCATGTAAGCTTGAGGGCTCAAGGTTAGACCAAGCCCCAAATGCTGAGCACAAAAGGGCTTAGGGTGCTCGGCACTTGAGGGATTCGCTGCTTCGAAGGGAGTGCAAAGTCCGGAAGAATCTGGAACTACAAAAACCCAAAGCAAATAAAGGTAAACCGAAACCGTAATAGAGTAACATGAATTCCCGAATTCACCTAAACCCTATAAACCCTACACCACGGACCCTAATCCCTGAACCCCTTAACCCCTAAACCCCGAAATTCACCCTAAATCCCAAAACCCTAACCCCAAAGGCCCTAGATCCCCAAACCCTAAACCCTGATTCCCAACCCTTTCAACCTTCAACCGGGACCGAATCGCAGACGAGCCGCCCATTGCCGACAAAGCCGGTCGTCCACGAAAGCTCCTCCAGGGGGGTTTAGGGTTTAGAGGTTTAGGGTTTGCGGCAACCCTAAACCCTAAACCCTAAACAGTTTGCGGTTGAAGATTCAGGGTTTAGGGGTTTAGGGGTTTTGGGTTTGGGACTCAGAGTTTCTCGGATGTCTAGTGTTTAGTTTGGGGTGGAGGGCTTCCAGGGTCGCTTGCGGTTTGGGATGTATTCCTTAGAAGGGGCCCCCACCCTGTAAATAGTGGTATAATAGGAATATAATAGGGCCCTAATATAATCCTTATAAATCCTTATAGTCACTATTACAGGGTGGGGGCAGCTTCTAATGTATTCCTAGAAACTCCCGGAATTACACCGCATGAGTTGGGCTTTGGGTTCGCGGCTTCGTCGGAGCCTTGGGGCTAATTAGCAGCTTGAATCGTTGAAGACGTTTGGGTTTACGGGGTCGGGAACGGGCTGTAATCCTAAACCACTGCAACCCCTGCAGCCCCAGACGCTTAGGCCCTAAAAACCTCACTAAAATTACACCCAGATCGCCTGAGGCTTTTGGGTTTGGGGTTCTTCTGGCACGGGGGGCCGTCGGAGGGCCGACGGCATCCGAAGTACTCTGAACTAAACTCTATAATCCCTTAACCCTAAACAGCTCAGGGTTCGGGGCCAGTAATATATGTTAAAGGCTTATCTTGTTCATGTCCGCTTTGTAGTTGGAGGCTTCGGCTTCGATCTTCGACATATTTCTCCTGAGCAGTGTCGAGCAGGAGCCAGCGGATGTCCTTGTCGGAGTTCCCCGGTTCTTTAAAGAGTTTTGCCAGGGTTCTTTTAAGGGTTCCTTCAAGACTTGAAAGCACTCTGCAACCTCAGCGTTCTTTACAGGCTTCCTTTGATGGTTCTTTCAGGCCTGAAGGCGAGGGGCTCTTGGGGAGGAATGAAATTCTTCCGTGGTTGCAGCTTCGGGGTTCTGGGCTTCAAGACAAAACTCATAGTAACACAAAGCCGCCACAGCTGCCTGAGCTAGCTTTACAGGAAGAGCGCCCAAAGACAGGGCGTGTGGCTTCGTTTCGATGCTTCGGATTTGGAGCCGTGCTGCTTAGGGCTTAGGGTTTACCATTTAGGGTTTAGGGTTTAAGTATAATTAGGGTTTTACGAGCCTCCGTGCTGCTTCAGCCTTCTGCGCCCAAGAGACCTGAAAATGCCCAATATACCCTAAACCCAATGCTTCGGCACGGTCGAAGCCGGTTCAGGATGCCCTTGCTGACCAGCATGTCAATGAAGACTAAGGCCAAGCAGCTTCGACCTGCAATCCCTGGAATACCCCGAGATTCAAAAGCCCCTGTAAGTACACTCATCACACTTCAAGGTGTATTGCTGACTTCCGGTAGATCTGGCTCGATCTGGCTCCCCTGAACCCTGAGCTCTAAATGCTCCTAAGCACTAAACCCGAAGAGACACCTCCACTGTCTGCACCGTGTTGACCGCGCCCCTGAGCCAGCTGAAAAGCAGCGCAGCGGCACCTGCGACCTTTGGCGGCAGAGATCTGCTTTTCGGGGGTTCCATTCAAGGGTTTAAAACCCTAAACCCTGCACCCAACACCTTAAACCCCAAACCTTGAACCCTCAACGCTGAACCTTTAACCCTAAACCTTAAACCCTACGACCTGTAAAACTTCAATCTTGCTTTGAGGGATCAAGGGTTCCCATGAGGGCAGCGCAGAAAAGAATCTCGTGGGGTGGCTCCCGGTTTTAAAAAAGTTTTCGGGTTCAGGACATGGGGAAGCATAATCCCACATGCTTCGTGCAATTCAGCGAGGTTGCCTGTTCGGGTAAGAGCCCAGAGCACCCCAACCAGGACATAGTTGTTGGACAAATACAATAGATTGCGGTCGGTTATGACCTATCACAATATCTGATATCTCATTGTACGTTATGGGGTATTGTGGCATACTGTAGCAGACTAACCGCGTGTTGGTTCAGGGCTTGGAGCTTTGGGTGGGATGCAGTGTCTGTCTATCAACTTTGTCCTGTCACGCGTCGAGTACAACAAGCTAAGATGCTACCAGTGTTGCAAGGGCTACTGGGATCAGAGATAATCTAAACCCTGAAACCCTAAACCCCTAAACCCTAAACCATGCTGCAGACAACTCTAGACACAACCTGGTTGCCGAGGAACGAGGGACGTGCCGAAGGATGTGCCAGTTAGCGAGGTGTACTCGTTGACACCAAGATAGGTACCTCAGGTCTACGACTGTGGCGTCGAAGGGATTCCCATCGTTACATGAGCACTGCAGAACTTCAAGAAAACGATTTGGTCAAGTTGCAGCTCTACCAGTCTACGTGAAGGATCATAACCAGGTTCACTATAAGGATAACTACACGTTTAACCCTAATTGAGGTACCCAGAACCTTTCCTATTAAGTCCTATGATCAGTGCGAAATAATCTCTCAAGGCGACCCGCGGCACCCTGACCACCAAGTTCAGGCTTAAGGCTCAAGGGTCGTAGAGTTTGCAGAACCGCTTTCTTGGTTCAGGATTCAGGATTTCGGATTTAGGGTTCAAAGGCTCAAGGTTTAGGTTCAAGAGGGCCTGCGACCTACAGCCAGCGCTAACTGCCCACAGTCGTCTGTGAAGCGTGAAACATCGCACCCCGCCAAGCCCAGCTCGGGTTTCGGGGTTTGAGTTCCTTCAGCCTAAACCGTAAACATCCCCAAACATCCCTAAACTCCAAAGCCTAAGTAGAGCCGAACAACCCTGAACCCTCCCTAACCACCACACGGCAACCTAAACCCCAAAAGCCGAAACCCAAACAGCTCTAGAAATAATCCTAAACCCTAAACCCCAAAACCCAAAAACTAGGGATAATCCTGAAGCCAGCCCAGGTTGCTGATGATGTTCTGGCCGGGAGCAACAAGCTCGACGCTCTGCACACCGTAGTTGCTGAAGAAGGTGAACTCGTCCTGCTGTTTAGGGGCTTCGGGGTTAGGTTGTTTTTTGAAGCGTACTGGCTAGGTCGCCCTAGTCATAGTCTGTCTTTACAGACATACACTGGGTGAGACACTGACGACGGGTTAGGGTTTAGGGCTCCGGGGTTTGAGGCTTAGGGCGTCCTGCGAATTAGCAAACGTACGAGCCTGACGCCTACAACGTAACCCCAAACCAACATCGTTGACTCTAAAATCCGAAACCTCTTCACCCTCAACCGTCTTCAGCTCTTCGTTGTGAACCCTCCCGAAGCTCCTTCAACAACAAGGCATATACATGTGTATATATATATATATATGTATATATGCCGATTTATGCATCTTTTGATCGCGTCCGAACCCCTTCAACAAGCGCAGTTAACAAGCCTTTTGAAGACCATGTATGTACAAGCCGTTTCCAAACCACTTGAAGAGATGACAAAAACCCTGGAGACAAAGAAACCGAAACAACATACTGCTAGATACGCTTAGATAACCCCCAAACCCAAAACCCTAAACTCGACAACTCCTATTTATCACATATACACACATACATGAACATATATAGATATGTATATATATATATATATAGATGTACACATACACATACATATATGTGTATAAACATAGATGACCATGTGCATCTATGCATAGCTGTATGCAAAGGTGTTATATAAATATAACTATACCAATATACATATATATATATATGCAGATGGACAGATATGTGTCGTTCTTATTCTACTATACAAACAAAGCACTGAAGCCCCTTCCAGGAACGGGGCCTCAGAGTTCGATGCCGCAACACAGAGGACCTTCATGGAGCTACCGGGAGCAATGCTCAAATTAGGCTTCACTGTTAAAGGTTTAGGGTTTAGGGGGTGTTAAGGATTCAAGGGTTTAGGATATGTAGTATTGAAATGAGTACAGAGCATGTGCTATCAGGTCAGAGATGTCACAATAAGGGCGGAGTAGCTTTCCATAGTTGGTTTGCTCTTTGGTGGTGCTTTGGGTCTTGATTGGCATCGGGTCTAGAACCTAGGATTAAGGGCTTCGGGGTTTGGGGGTGTACGGTTTGATCTTCAGCGTTTGGGCTTAGGCCTTAGGATTCAACATTCGCGGTCCTGACGTATACAGATTGAGTTTTGAATGTCGATGTTCTCGACTTCTCTGATCAATTCGGGTCGGAGGGAAAGGGCTGAGGCTGAACTTTTATGCGTTTTCGATGTAGGGTTGGGATTGAAGTGCTCTAAATAAAATGCTTCCAATGTGTGCAGGATGTTTAGGACGTCTTCGCCAACCCACACTGTTTGGCCAAGGTGCATGCGGATAGACGCAGGGGTAGAAGGGATACTGGTCCGCATTCGCGTTGTCGTTACCTGCAGCCGAAACCTGAAGGGACACTCTTGCAGGTTGCTTTGTACTTACCGACACCACCGAAAGTTGGCAAAATAATGGCCCAATACCCATAAAACGCCACTAGTCTACATACTTTGGGGGTCCAGGAACAAGTAGGACTGCCAGTATATAGCAACAATGATGGCTTCCCATGGTCCTGCTGTTCAAGACTTGCAACTCTACGCAAAGTGATCTAGAGCTTTTTATCGGGCCTGTTGGGGAGCGCAGGAGGCCGCTAAACTCTCAAAAGGCCATAGGACCCATAGCAAAGATCGACCCAAAAGAGCGGAAAATGTCTGAAGTCTAAACCTCAACTCCCGAAATCCCAATCAACCCTGAACACCTGGGCTCTAAACCCTAATCGGGAACCTGGGCTTCGGTTTAAGGAAAAATACTGGATGCAAGTCTGCCTCCCCAACTCTGAAGACCCGCCGAGGGGACCTCGATTTAAGGTGTAAACACTTACTTAAAGGATCATAACGTTGTCATGAAATCGGTAGCTACTGCCAGAAAAACACGTACAACCCCAATCAGGGTACTTCGAACCTGATGTACTAATTCCACTGATCCTCTCTACCCAGCTGTTACATGAGTTTGTTGATGGGAGGACTCCCTGCTGCCATGCTGGAGTAACTTTTGGCATTTGCAACCTCCGAATTCCAGCTCTTAACCCGATGCCCATAGCTAGGTCCTGGGACGTCTGTCGAGTCACGAAGAGGTGGCCAGCCTCCATAGCAACCTGGATGGCCTTTGCAAGCACCAGGTTTGGGACCTAGGGGTTTACATACGACTAATTAGCAAGAACACAAACTATCAGAACAAACATAAACCATGACACAAATAGTACTAATCACCATAAACATCATAGTAATGCAGTTACAATTAAAATAACAATAGTAGCAGTAGTAATAGTAGTAGTAGTAGTAGTAGTAGTAGTAGTAGTAGTAGTAGTAGTAGTAGTAGTAGTAAGCAGCAGTAGCAGTAGCAGTAGCAGTAGCAGTAGCAGTAGCAGCAGCAGCAGCAGTAGCAGGAGCAGGAGCAGGAGCAGGAGCAGGAGCAGGAGCAGTAGGAGCAGGAGCAGGAGCAGTAGCAGTAGTAGTAGTAGTAGTAGTAGTAGTAGTAGTAGTAGTAGTAGTAGTAGTAGTAGTAGTAGTAGTAGTAGTAGTAGTAGTAGTAGTAGTAGTAGTAGTAGTAGTAGTAGTAGTAGTAGTAGTAGTAGTAGTAGTAATGGTGAAAATCGTAGTAAGAATAGCAATACCAACCAAACCCCGACATCCCTGAGCCTCTAAGCCCATGTTTGAACCGGGTCCATGCTGTCCTACCCTCCATCTCCATCCAAGTTCGTGTCTATCTGCAGGCATGCATGCATGTGTGCATGCATGCATGTACATGCATGTGTATGTGTATGTGTATGTGCATGTGTATGTGTGCGTGTACATCTTTGTGCTCGTGTTTGCGTTTGTATTTAACTCATGTGCACAGGTATGCGTATGCGTTATGTGGGATTTCTCTTTACCCGAAGTCCAATTTAGGGTCCAGTTCACATGGGTGCCGTAGTGTTTGGGGACCTCAACAGGGACTCTTATTTGGAGAACTACTGGAACTGGCTTCAGTCGAAGAGATCTCGATTCTCCACCACAGCCCTCACGGTTTAGGGCTTAGGGCTTACATTAAAACGGTTATAAGGGCTTAAGTATACCGGCATTGAACTCGGAACCCTGAACCAAGACGGCCTAAACAACCTCTGTGCCACCAAACCCCTGTGACTCTAACCGCGTCCAATTTCAAGAATCCTAAATGCAAGAAGCACAAAAGGCTCCTGAAGCCTGGCTCTAATTCGTACTTTGGGTCTTCGGGGGTCCCGAGGAACCAGAGAGCCTGCTGCAGGGAATGACTCTCACCTGAGTGGCTGTGGCTTCGACTTCTCTTTACAGGCTAGTTTGGGGGTTGGGTTTGCTTGGTCTCTTCTAGGGATTCTAGGGTTTAAAGCTTTCCACATCTTTTGGGCTTTGAGGTTTTGGCGACCTCGGGTTTAAAGATGTCAGGGCTACAGGCCTTCCACGTCGGCTTTCTTCACAACCAGACTTTGAGGACGCAGGGAACTGGAAGAAGGGCTCTCGTTATGGTTCCTGTCTTGATAGGAGTTGGGCTGGACCCTCTGATGCCTGAGAAACAAGATTGTGAGTTAAGGCAGAGGAAGCTGCTCAAATGGGAGTTTCCGATAATTGGGGGTACCTTTTTGGGGTACTTTAAATAAGGATCCTACTATTTAGGGTACTATATTAGGGTCCCCCATTTTCGGAAACTCCCAAATCGAAACCCCGTCCCGCAAACAGTAAACTCGTCAGGCGCACTAAACTAAACCGCCGGGGCCGGACTTTGTGCAGCCCCCATCCAGCTCACTGCTCTCCGGTGTGAAGACGTTGAATCCACTCCACGCTATAATATGGGGGCCTTAATACTTAGAATAAGGTTTTAGGACCCATTATGCTAAAATTCTAACAAGGAACCCCTAGGTAATGATTTAAGCCCCTATATTTCCCCTCAACCTTCAGCTCCCTGATGGCCCACACGGAAGCCTCAATCCCCGAAGGATTAAGAACCTGCCTTCTCCCTCTCCGTCTTGGAGCGACAATTTTACGGTTTGCCTCACGCATTAGCATGGTTAACAACACCAGATGGATTAAATTATGATCCAAATTATTCATCAACTTATTTTATGGTAGGAGCATTTGGGTAGTTCTCTAAATCAGGGAAACCTTGTGGGGTCCGTCTTATAAGTGTGCCGGACTATGTTTGGGGCCGTAAAAGGGCCCCTACTTTGGACAACTTCCCGTTTTTTAAGAGCCAGACAGCCTACTAAGAACGAAATTATGTCTCCGAGCTGTAAGACTATGGTACAAAAGAGCCGTAGCTCCCACTTGCTGTCTAAAGGCTGTGTCCGCCCCAAGAATTCGAAGAGATCTGCGCTCCCATTGCCATGGCGTAGTTTACCTGGGATACTTGGAGGTTCATGGGTAGTTATAAGTAGGGTTATAAGTCCCCTAAATGTGGTATAAGTGTATGATTATCCTACTTGTAACCCACTTATAGCTACCCATGAACCTCCAGGTATGGCTTGGTGCTTAGGCCTTTTGTGTTTGAGCCCTTCGGGTTCACGGTATAGTTCACCTGAGGGTTTAGGGTTTAGGGGTTTTGGGTGTAGGGGATTAGGGTTTAGGGGTTTTGGGTTTAGGGTATAACTCACCTGAGAGAGGGTCCATGGATGTAAGGGTGTTGGGCGGGCTTGCTGACAAGAATGCAAAGATGAACTTGAAGCGCCAGATACAGGACTGAGGAACCTGGCGAAGCTGAAGGTGTCCAAACCCCCACGTCAGCCCTAAACCCTGCACCCCAAACCCAGAACCAATAGACCCTAAGCCCCCAAACCCCAAACCGACAAACGCTGAATTCCAAAACCCTGATTTCGAACCCCTCAATATCCTAAACCCCGAAACCTTGATGTCCCAGGCGCCGCCGAGATCGCGTCGCTCTTGTAGCCACCCTGCGCGGTCAGAGCCTCGAGAAATGTGTGTTTAGAAGGCCGGAACAAATCCTTAAAGTGTACAGTTACAGGTCGGGATAACAATCAAATCCTCTTGCAGTAGTATCGTCCCCATATGGCTGTACTCCATTATTCGCCAAAAAACCCGGTCGAATTATCGAGGCCTCGAAATTGCCCCTAAAGCATCGTCTCCAAGTCCAGCCTTCAGATAACACGGCTTCGGGCGGATGGTACGGTTTACGATTCTCGAGTATGGTTGGCATGGGACAAGAAATATCATCTAGAGACCACCGGGACAGATCGCTACTGATTAACTTGTATCCTGGACCCCAAACCCTATGAATCCCAAATCCTCACCCGAAATCCTGCACCCCACACCCCAAACCGAGAAGCTAAACCCCTTTGCGAGGGGAGAGCGATGACTGGAGAAGTTGTAGGCATTGTAGGCAAGAGGCGACGCAGAAGAGCTTAAGCTCAATACTCCCTCCCGACCTACGAGAATGCAAACCGAAAACTCTGAAAGCCAAAACCTTCAACCCTTTCTACAACCCTTTAAACCCCTAATGCCTGAAACCCCACTCTAAACCCTTAAAAAATCCTGTAAACCGTTAAAACCCTCAAAGCCCCTAGAGCCCTTCGAACCCTTAAAACCCCCCAAACCCTTATATAAACCCTGTAAACCCTCAAAACCCTCAAAGCCCGTGGACCCCTTCAAACCCTTAAAAGCATGCAAAATCCCCCCCGAAAGAGCCCTTCAAACCCTTAAAGCCCGTGGAGCCCTTAAAACCGCTGCAAACCTTCAAAACCCTCAAAGCCCTTCAAACCCTTAACAGCCCTCAAAAGCCCCCCGCAAAATCCCCCCGCAGAGCTTGGCCTTGACGACCATCAGCTTGACGTACTGATTCCGCCCCGCGGCGCCAGCGATGCCCCGGTCGTTCAGCCTTCGCTTCGGCAGAGAGAAGGAGGGGACGGTTTAGGGTCTGGGGTTCTGTTTTTGTTTGTGCATCTGGGGTTTACTGTCTGGGGTTCTGGGGTTTAGGGTTTGGGCTTTCAGGTTTGGGAGTTCGGGGATTTAGTGGGGGGTTTGGGCACACACACACAACAAAAAAAAAAACTTACCAAGAGGTGCTAGGCGAAGCAAAACCAATTGGGGATCCCATCTATCGGGACCAGGAGTGAGTGTCCGTTACATGGGCGGAACTGCGAAACCTTGAACTCACAGCAGGGTGTCGAGGTCGCGATGCATTGGGCGTTTTTGCCGTCCTGAGCCCGAAAGCTAGAAGGGACCATACAGATTTCCAAGGCGCTGTGCTGCAATGAGCCCTGCGTTGTGTGTGCCATGGCCGCCGTCATCCACCTCGTCGATCGGACCCGACTAAGCAGGACCCCAGATTTTGAACCCTCAAACCAATAGGCGTTATAGATTGGACCCTAAACCCTACAGGCTTATACCCATCCTGCATGACAAGAACCAAACCCCAAAAGGTCTAGAAGATCGGAGCCCACAATCTTGTAAACAAAATCCGAACCCCAAGCCCAAGAGATCAGCGATTGGAATATGACTGTTCATCAGGTTGGGGGGTTCCTTCCAGTAGGAGTAGGGACTATCAGCAATATCCGGCGTGGCTCCTTTTTCTGGCTACTGGCTCCTATCGGTTATGATGCAAAAACGGGCTATCAGAAAAAGAACTACCTTGGAGACGGTAGATAGTGCCAAACTTGAACCCCAGGTTTCGTGCTTCTGCTTGAGCTTTTTTGTTGAATCTGTTACACGCCCCAATATTGAAACCGACTGAAACCCTGTAAAGCCAAAAAAGCATGTTTTCAAACACACATTAACATTCTGTAGAAGACACCATCAACACTAGAACCTCCCACATCCCGTCGGGAGGCTGGATTGCCGTTGTAGTCCACGAAGTTGAAGCCGTGCACATCATCGATGTACCCTCAGGTGTGGAGGCTCCCATAGGTGTCTGAATCATCAGGAATCGTCAAGTTTCGTGAAAGCCGCAAAGCCCAAAAGCTCTACCCCGCGAAACAAGGCCCAAGGGCCGTTGCCATCGTCATCGCGGCCGTTTCCTGGGCTCTGAAATAACAAAGGGGGAAAAGTATAAGCATGTATTTCGCCATGGTTCCATCTATCAGGAACACGTCCCAACAAATGCAGTAAAGCATACCTAAAAACCTCAACCCTTTAGTACTGCAGAACCCAGTTTCCAGGAATCTCCCCGCGGTTTGTCCAGACGCGACCTGGCAAGCTGCGGCTCAGTGGCTCATGAGAAGAGCTATAGCTTCGGGGTACGGCAGGGTTTAGGCTCTGGGGTGTAGGCTGTTAGGGTTTAGGAACTCGGTTTGGGTTTAGGTTTTAGGATTTCGGATTGAGGCGTAGGATTTGCTTCGGGTTTAGGGCTTCGGGTCTACGTATTAAAGCTCAGGTTTTAGGGTTTGCGGCCTAGTGTTTTGGAAAAACAAGAACCCTCAACCCAAACCCTTTCACAACCTTTGCCAGCCACAGGGCCGAAACTTGAGCGAAGAGCTCGCATGGTTGCCGACTGCTCTTAGAGGCCATGTAAACATGCAAACAGGATGCCGGGTATCTCCGCCGAATGGAGACCTTCTACTATATCTCCTAAGATTCGGTACTGCTAGAAGTTCAGAGCATACTATCACCACATATTCCGACCCCTATATTATCGCCATGTGATGCTCCGGAAACTCCTCAGAAGAACCCTTGTGGCTTGTTCGGAGCCTCACAACTCCTTGTTTGGAGGGTGGCTACAGTACTGGGACATTTTGTTAAGGCTTAGGGCTCTTATGAACAGACTGTGCTGAGTGAAAAGAACCTTTCGCAAGGAGGATCTGCAGGTGCACTGCTACCATAGCTGCCGAACCCCGTGAGGCTCTGGGGGAGGTTGTAGTCATGGTCCCCCCTAACCCTAAACCCTAAACCCCCTCAGATGGATGCCTTGGAGATCCTCGTGGCCAAAGGTCAGCCCAGTGTCTATGAGTGCCACAACGACCTGCCAGCTCTTTAGTTTCGCCTTGGGATGTATTTCAGGTTGGAGGTTCCAGGCATACGGCTTAGATTCAGCGCGTTCAGATCTATGCGTTTTACACTTGATGGGTCTCGCAAGATCCGCATACCAATTCATACGCTACTGGGCATAAGTAGGCCGACGATTGGCACGAAACACATCGCTACCCAGTCCCTAGGCCCAAAAAGAGGGCAAAGCTCTTGATTCAGAAGGGTGCCTTACTATACCCCCGAAACTCTTAACACCGCAGTGTTGAAAGGGTGCCTTTAACCCTGAACCAGTTGCTAAGGGGGCCTACATCTACCTACTCGGCAACTCAGAAGAGTCACCCTACAACCTAAATTCCAAGAGAGCACACTGTCCCAGAGCAAGGTAGAGACAAGAGGTCACCTCCGAAAGGGAAAGCCATGAAGACTCAGAGAGTGACGATCCGGGGTCTAACTAGGGTTCAGGATGTAGTTGTCTGCTTATGTTTTTTGGCGTTAGGAGTTGCTGTTGCGCTGCTCAGCCCAAAGACCCGAGTATCAAATAGAACTCACCCCCGAAAGCAAAAGAGCCTGAGCCCTGACGAAGGCCTGGATAGATAGCACAGCCTTTTGGGGGTTTTGGTGTTAATTTTCCATAAGGAATGTAAAGGCTATGACCAGTGACTAGTTGCTCAGACTCCTTTATCCGGTGGGGCCTTAGTTGCCGCAGTTCCGAATGCAAATCCACGACTGGTGTGTGATTAGTTTTCGGCAGCAGAAGCACAGCACGCCACCTCTGTCGGGCTTGTCGTCAGGGCCTGCCAAAGAGACCCCACTCAACACAAGAGGTTACAACCCCGAACCCAGAATCCAAAAAAAAACAAAAGCGGAATATACCCTCCTTTTCAGCCCTTTTAGACCCTGAGCCCTGTTTCGCTTCCTGTTCTTAGCTGCCCCGCAACGTCCACTACAATCATGGGTTGGTGATCAGTCCCAGTGACACCTTAAGAATAGAGTACGCATAAGAGCAGCTTTTCTCGTAAGCTGCAGTCTTGAGTCTTGAGGAGGAGCCTCCTAAACTACTCAGCATACTGCCGGGACCATCGGAGGGACATGAAAGGGTTTGGGCATATCTTCTAGAACTTTGGCACGTAACCCTGAGGAGCAGTTTGAAATACCAAACATTCAAGCCCACATAATCAAGCCCGTTTTGTGCCTTGTGATACTGCTGGTTACAGAGAAAGGACAGATCCCTTGAACCAAGAGCCTCCGAAAAACCAACATGCCAGACTTCAATCACAGGGACCCTTAGGCGGGTAGAGGGAGGGGGCTAGAGGACTATACTTCCTTTAATTGGCCTTACTAGGTCCTTATTATGGGCATTAAGGCCTCCTACCCTATGATTCAAAGTTGCTTGAGTAGTCAAGCGATATCTACGAGTAGTAATAGACGTTAGTGTGTATGTTGCATCATAGTTGTACATGGACTACTGCACAGGCCTTGTACTGCTAACTGGGAGGGTGTACATTATAGCGTGAGTATACTTCCGGGAAGTACTCGCTGCCAGCCACTGGGATTGCATATGAGCAACTGTCTAAATTTGGGTCCCTGTTGAAGTCCCCGAAAATAGCAAAAAATGGTACGACGCCCTTCTAAGAAGGGAAAAGGGAACCTGAATGACAAAGCTAGGCAAGCCCAAATGAAGTTTAGGGTTTAGGGCTCATACTATATTACTATATCATATTATGTTGTAGTAGACTGCATGATATTGTAGATCATATATCATACTATATCATATTATGTTATAGTAGGTTACATTATGTTAAATTATATTGTAATAGATCAGCCCAACCTGCAGCTTTTTGCTATAGTCGATGCCCCCCCAACCCAAGCAACGGACCGTCGCCGGCCTCTAGCTGCTGCCAGGCACCTGCTGCCAAGGCTCTCGGAACAGTGGATTTTGTGTGTAACATAGGGTCCTTCACAATTAGAACAGGGTAATACAGGGTCCTTA